AAAAAGATTGGCAACAGATGTTAGCTCAGGGCCAATCTTTAAAAAAAAAAAATTGGAAAAAGAATCAGAATAAGAGAGCCAGTCAAATCTGACGCTAAATGCTACTAAATTATAGTAGTTCTTTAATGAACATGAATGAGTAGAGAAAGGATTCATTGTGATAGTGACAGCTCTCTGACAGTAAGGTGACATATGGGTTTGAATCTATGGACTATGGCAAATTCAATGACAACGCTTAAGTGGTCTAAGATTGACAGTAGGGCAGTTCTACTCTATGAAGGTGATGTTCAGGACAAACAAAAATTACTATCCAAAAAGATTCTGGGTCTGCATTTCACTATAGAACTCTGTTACTTAGGAACATTATTATTAATGAGAATATGATTGAGATATTAAGAATATCGGTCCCGCCGCAGTCTTGCCTTGGGAAGGGAAAATGTTTCATTGCAAAGAAAATCACAATGAAAAGTTAGTCTTGCCTCCCTTTTCTCCTCTCTTCTTGAGGAGGACTCAAGAAAATGGAAATAATAAAGGTAAGGGGAAGATTTCAGCTCTGAAGAATAGCTTGCTAGCTTTCTTGAAAGTCAGGCATCATAGCCGCCGGCATGCATTTCCTCGGGGTCTCTCAGCTTTGGTTTTCCTTCTAGGGGAATGGAGCGAGGCCGGTGAGCGGGTCTGCTGAGTCCGCAGCACTCAGTCTACGTGCGCCTCTGCAGCAGGTGCAGGCCCAGTTGTCACCCCTCCAGAACCTCTCCCCATGGATTCTGACAGTGTGGACTCTTCAGACTCTGAGGTAGAGATTATTTAGATTTACTCAAGTACGATATAACTAGTTAATTCCATGTTTGATGCCTAACATCCCTAACCAGATAGATGAGGGCAGGAGAAGTTAGTTTTGGTTGGGTTAGAGGTGAACGTTGACTGCCTTACTGTTTCCAGGCGATTTAGGACATGGAGTAAAGTGTAGATAGATGGGTCTGGTGGGGCCCGGAGGTCATCCCGGAGCATAAGGATTAATTTTCATTATGGAACCTGGTACTTAAGTGTTCTAGGTAGATTCTCAGGTGCCTTCTCATAGTTGGACTCTGTTTAATTTTTTGCCTTTTGCAGTCTGATATCCTGTTGGGCATTCTGTTCAACTTGGACCCAGTCATGTTCTTCAGATGTCCTTCCCCAGAATCGACCAGCCTGGAGCAACTCCCAGAGGTCTACCCAGAAGGACCCAGTTCCTTACCAGCCTCCCCTTCTCCATCACTGGGGACGTCATCAGCCAAGCTGGAAGCCATTAATGAACTGATTCGTTTTGACCACGTATATACCAAACCCCTAGTCTTAGAGATACCCTCTGAGACAGAGAGCCAAGCTAATGTGGTAGTGAAAATTGAGGAAGCACCCTCCAGCCCCTCAGAGAAAGATCACCCTGAACTCACTGTCTCAGTGAAGGAAGAACTTGTGGAAGATGACTTCATTCCAGAGCTGGGTATCTCAGATCTGCTTTCATCCAGCCACTGCCTGAAGCCATCTTCCTGCCTACTGGATGCTTATAGTGACTGTAGATATGAGGGCTCTTCTTCCCCCTTCAGCGACATGTCCTCTCTGCTTGGTGCAGACCATTCTTGGGAGGACACTTTTGCCAATGAACTGTTTCCCCAGCTGATTAGTGTCTAAGGAGCGATCGAGTACTGTTGCCCTTTTCCTTGACTAATACATTGCCTGGAAGATAGCAGAGAAGCCTGCCTGCTCCATTCAAAAAGCCAAAGTAGAGGGTGTACAGTCCGAGAGAATTCCTCGAAAGTATTTGTCTGTTCAAACCTCATTAGGTCACCCCAAGTATTGGTTTTTGACATTCAACAGTGCAAGGTACTCAGATATACTACTGTAATCGAGAATTAAAGCTTTTGAGGTTGTACCTTTATTTTAGGGCATTAGTTTGCCCTAAAATACTTATGTAAGGGTCACTGGACAAACGTCTCAGACATGGAATTTATGAATGGCCCTTCATCATTCCTTTCCCCTTCTCAGCTTCCCAGGCTCGCCTCCAATTTTAGGTCCTTTAGTTTGCTTCTCCAAGCAGAGAACACCTACCTGAGGGGGCTCCTTTTCCCTCATTTACAGTTCAAGTAAAGATCAAGAATCTTTTACAAAATTATAGAAATTTACTATGTAAATGCTTAATGGAATCTTTCCCTGCTAGTGTAACTTTTGGAAGGTGCTTTCTCCATTTATTTAAAACCTACCCGTGCAATTAAAAAGTGCAATGCAGTGTCTTTGTTCTTTGATTCCTTCTTGGGCCTTAAGTCTTACTGTGCTTGCTCTAGGTGTCTCACTGTTTGCCATGGTAGTGACTTATCCAACTTGAGTAAGCATGCCACTTTTTAGTGACTGAAGGCACTTCCCCCTTAATTAGTACCTCTTTCAATTCCTGGCTGCCGTAAGTGATATAATCTACTCTTGAAGCAGTTTTATATTTCTAACAGTTTCTTCAGCCCAACTGACCAATATCCCACCTAGTAAGTGGCAGAGTTAGAACTCTTAACAAGGGTTTGCTATACCACTTTATGTTAGAGAAGGACATGCCATTAAATACCAAGATTCTCTTGCCATGATTATAGGGATTAAGAGCATTTTCTATCTCAAAACCCCTGGGTTCAATTCTGCCACTGGTTGGCCGAGTAACATTGGACATAGATCACTTATTTCCTCATCTATAAAGGGGCATAATAGTCTTTTTCTCTTAAAGCTTACTGGAGAATTAAAAGATGATGCACTATAAACACTTAGTATATGCCAGGCACCATCCCCAAGCACTCAGGAGTTAATTATTACCTCCTAATCCACTTTGGAAGGGTTTTAATCTCTTAAAGAGGTATATACACTGTAGAACTGGTTTCAAAAAGAAGGAACCTGTTCAAGAAAAAGTCCTGGGGACATGAATACAACCCCAAAGCTACAGAGACTGGATAACCTCATCATCCTTCATGGTGCATCTTTCCCTTGGGATTCCTCTTAGATGACATTAAAGGGCTTCCCTCATTTATACAAATTATTTCACCTATGCCAGCATTATGCCAATATTTATTAAGACTACCTCTGGGGAGGTCAAAGTGAATGAGTGGACAAATAAGGTGGGATTCAAAGAATCCCAAGCTGCAAGGCAAAGCAGGCTATAATTTCAGCCAAGTACAGGGGACTGTGTTTGGAATGACTGGAGGCACGTCCACAAGCATACCAGGAGGCAAGACAGCCTAAGATACCTGCTTGCTGAAGTCAGAGCCCGATCCTAGTGCTTGGCAATACAAGCTTGCTAAAGCTCTGAGTTTCTGGATCCTAAATGTAAGGACAACCTCCAGCTGTCCCCATGATTAAAAACCTGATCACCTGATTTTCTAGAACTGAAAACTTAAGTGCTGAAAATCTATTTAGGGATTGTATAGACAGCTGTAATTACAGATGTATTTTAACCTCCATCGTAACAGAACAAGCAGCTGGAGATTGAGGCTCAAGTAATTTACATTCAGTGACATCACATGAAAGAGGCAGCTGTACTAACAGGAATAACGAATGGGACAGACATAACCTATAGATGATCAGGGTTTTCATTTCCTGCACAGATGGGTGAGAATTACTCAACACACTGTGCTCAGCCTTGAGAAAACACCTGGTATTCAAGGACATTTTCATATTGAAACACTAAATTGAATGGTTAGAAATAAAAATCCAGACCTTTTTCTGCAAAACCAAGGCAAGATTTCTATTAAATGCAAAAGGCTGTCCATAAATAATATTAAAAGAATCAGATGACAGATGTCTGCACACCATTTCCCTGGGCCTTGGAACACCAACCTATGCGCGTGTCTCCCGGCTTCTCTACTAGGTATGCTTCTCGGGCAGACACAAAGTAGGGAGAGAACTGTAGGCAGAAGGTAATGCTGCCTACTCCAGGAATATTGTATGGCATCAGCTACATTCTAACCACCTAAGAAGTACATCTGTACCCTATTATTCCTAAAGTTCATTAAGGCACACAAAGACTGGCTTGTTTACCCAATAATTATTTGCTGAAAGACAACATCCTTGTCTTGCTGGAGCTGTAGTCTAACACGATATTCTAACTGCATGTAGCTCGTCTCTAAAATGCCACTGGTAAAATATTTGAACCAAATCTATATACACAAAACTATATACCCTCAAGGAGTTTAGCATTACATTGCCTGAACACTGGATTGTAGATTATTTCAATGAAATCTAAATTACATTTTAGGTATTGCTGCAAAAAGACCGTAAAACCACTGGTCAAGCAGGAAGAACACTGGGCCTGCTGAGTTGAGTTATAACATTAAGTTATCACTATCTACTTAGGCTTTAGTTTCCAAACCTGTAAAATAAAGAAATTAGACAGCTTTGAGCTGTGATTTCCAAATTTTGGTGAAAAACAAAGCAATATCCTGAATCTTCTGTAATTGCAACCCAAACTTAACTCCACCTGCCCACAAATCAGGGATCCACATTTAAGAAACAATGGTTGTAAATATGCAGGCAATACTGCCACCCAGTGACCTGTCAACTCTTAAGGAATGACCATGTAACTGAACCTCATGGAATCTCCCTATTTCCTATTTTTAAAGGTCCCAAATCTGTAAAAAAAAAAAAAAAAAAAAACCAAAAAACAAAACAACAAGACAACTGTGAACTTTCTATACCATTTCCAACTCCCTATTTGAACATTTTTGAAGACTCAGCCACCACTGCCATCTGAATACTGGCAATCAATCACCACTGCCAATCAGTGCTGTTGACTGACAACAGCAGTGAATTGCTAAGTGAGAGTGGAAAGCATTCTGTGGGTTTTAGAATTGCAAAACATAGTCTGCCTATTTTGGAAATAACTAATTCATTTATGAAACTTACTTTTAACCCAACATAATCATCTCTTCAGAATAAATTTAAGCCTTTCACAGATATGAATGCTGCTTCAAATACAATTTGGAAGAAAGCAAAGCAGTAGTTGATTTCATTTACTTAAGTGCAGGGATACAAATCTATCAAAAAGTCCAAAACACAAGTTTTATTGAAAACAATAAAATACAGAAACACCGGATTCTCATTGTAAAATAAAATTGACATCTTCCAAAACTTTCCTAGTACTGCACCCTTCTTGTCACTATTAGAAAAACAAAACCAAGTTCCAGATCCAAAATAATTAATGAAGCTGCTGATAAACAATCATTCATGGTTCTAGCTCCCGCACTAGTTATTTTTCTAAATTTTATATTTGCACCTTTTCAAGAATGAGTAGCAGCTGTTTTTTTTTTTTTGTTGACTGATTAATATTTGTGAGAACCGGACTTACTTTCTTCATATTAATGAAAAAAAACCACACACACCCTACTCAAACTCAGAGAAAATATACATTTGTTCATTAAAGCTCACCTGCTTTAGATAATTTTTTCTCTTCACACATTAGCATACTAAGCCAATGTTTGATCCATGCTGTAAAAGCTGTACAAAATGAAAAGACCTGTTAATTCCCGAGGGAAACCTTAAGGCAAAAGCAAAAGCCTTACGCTACAAAAGAAACACAAAGCCAAGGCCTGGGGACTGTGGAGAAGGCTCAGATGATTAAGCACCACAAGGATGAAGACAATTTTTGTACAAACAGATGCAAGAAGATAAAGTTTAAAAAGGAGCATTAGACATCTATTTTCCTGCAGAAATAATTATGTCAGATAATTTGACTCCTGAAACAAGTCTGTTTGGATTTTACTGGCCGGAATCTTGATTCTTTCCCATATTTACCAGCGGTATCAGAGCCTTGTTTGGGGGCTCTTCTTTCCTCCTCCTCATCGTACAGACCTTTGATCAGAGGCCTGCTCCACAATTACTATAGAAGACAATCAGTGTGCTTGGGTCCTTCTTTGGAAAGCTGTCACCTCCCCTTCTGCCCTAACACTGGGACTAACTCCAAATTCCGGGCAGTCACTTCATGTTTTTGAGTTGTACCAGAATAAATTTTTCAGCATGGAGATTTCTTTAAGGCTAGAAACTTTACAAGTTGGTCCCATTAAACAATAACCTAAAGGCAGGAGTTTTTCAAACGGCATGAATCAAACACTTGCACACTTCAACAGAAGACAGTTTACATTCATCTCTAAATCTGAGATTAAGAAACTATTAGCTGGTTTCCAACTGGTTTCAATACTGGTTTGAAGTTCGAATAATTTTACTGTGTAGACATTAAATATTTTGTTTAAATATTAAACATTAAATCATTTCCTGACTATCCAGACAGAAATAGAGAAAGCAGGAACAACAGGCAAGAGAAGAAACAGTCCAATTAACAGACTTGTAACTTCTATGCCATCTGTAACAAGAGGAGGGATTTCAGCACAGGTTTCAAAAATGCCTAGGAGCTGGTTTCTAAAAAGTCACCTGTACTTGGCATAAACCATTTTTTCCTACACAAGATATTGTATTCCTACAAAGAGGAAAGAAACTCAGAAAACAAAACAAGAAGAACTAGGGTGGTCTCCTGTTGTGTGATGAATGAGTGTTTAACAGTGTTACCCTATTACACTCATTTAATTAGTTATAGTGGATATTCTGTAGCACTAAAGGAACTGTCATTTTACTTTGCACTACTGAGTCCTTGCCACACAGAAGAGCTCTTCCTGAGAAATAAAAAGTTCAATCCTGGTTATCCCCAAAGGACATCTTGAGCCTGGTTTAGGTCACCAAGACAAAGATTTCCTGCTAGCAAAAGGCTATTCTCAGCTACTAACTTTTAGGCTTACTGCACAAAAGTTGAAGCACCAGGAAAATTGGCCATTTCAGTAAATCTCAATATCATTTGCCCATATATTCTCAGTTAATTATTCAGTCATTGTTTTCTAAACTAACATTAAAAAATGTTACTGAAAAATAACTGGGCTTACCAATTACGCAAGGGAAACCAAGGAGCAACAGTAGCACAAGGCAAAAAAGCCTTGAAGGAAAAACCTTTTCTCTGTAGTCTCATTGCATTTTTGGGGACAAAGAAGTGAGTCACAATGCTACTGGCTATTTAATCAATATAGCTACCCTGAACTGACAACTAATATACACATTTCAGAACCTCCGTTAAATTTCTTAGCAATAGGCTCAAGCTACCACTTTCTTCCCTCCTTCTCCCCAACCATAGTCACCACTGTAAACAGAGCTTCTATCTACAGAAGCAGCTGTGACTCAAGAGGCAGGGCACAGTCGTCGGAGGAGCAACCTTTCACCCTAATGCATCTTTTTCAACCCAAGTGTCTGAATGTTCCCCAAGTGTCTGAATGGTTTAGACAATGTAACAGATGACTTGAGCCACCCTGACACACACAGCTTCTAGACTTGCCTTTGCAGACCGTAATCTCACGTTCCTTTAACAAGCCCCCTACAAAACTGCTTTTCCGTTGAGACAAGCTTCCTTGGCAAAAAGCTGAATTCAAGAAATGGCTACCCAAGATGAGAGTCCCACCCCAAATCACAGGTGGAGATATTATTACACCCGTTTCATAAAATTTTCAAGTCCCTATATTATACAAATAGGCTCACGACTAAACACATGAGCCTTCTAAAATCTGACAACTTTAGTGTAGAAACTGGTTTCTAGAGTTCCATTTCTTCTTCTGTGCAAGCAGCTGTCTCCACACTATCGTAAACAGGCATCCCTGTTTGCCGAGGTTCCAAGAACAGTTCAGTTCTCTGAGGGAAGGCAGCGCCAGCAGCTGCACGCTCAGTCTGGCTCTCTCCTGTGTAGTTCTTAGCACTGGAGGATGGCTTTGGCTTGTCAGAAAGGAGTTCAGGAAGAGGTTTCCAGAGCACAAGCTCCATGGAAGGACGGCTCCTAAGACATAAAATATAGATTTTTATCAAAAATTTTAGGATATGAAAATAAGAGGTTGAAAAGCTGATGTCTGCTACCTAATATATAGAGTTAAGAACTGACAGCATCAAAAGAGATTTATGATAATCCAAATTAATCTTTAGAAAGGTCACTCAAATACATAAAATCTTACAGTTCTGCACCTTTTTTTAACCAAACCAACTGGTTGTATCGATGCTGTGATTAAAAGTAAGATACACATCCAATGTGAAAAATAGAGGCCCTTAATTTAACACTATTTTTTAAAATTGTGGTTCCTACTAGGAGATGTGGGCTACTATCTTGTACTAAAGCATTATAAATGAAAATGAAACACTGGACAAACACATTAAAAGGGTCTCAGTATGCTTTCTGCTTACTATAGCTATGAAGTATAATGCTTTTTTCAGTAAGCCAAAACGATTATGTCGCCAATGTCTATGCCTGCCCCTGAGCCCTCCCCCATCTAGGGATGGTTTGATTATTTCTGGGACCCAAAGGCAAGTAAGGCAAAATAAAACACAATGAAGAATACCTCCCAAAGGCTTGCTTCTGGAAAATGACCAAGACCAGAAAAGTGCTATGTTTTAGGCTGGAGGACAATGTGACCTGCCTACTCTTGGCTAAACAATATACCCACCCTCAGGGCTGGATAGTTAATTATAAACTCAAGTTAGGGGGCTAAGGCAAAACCTCTGTGATCGCATGACAAGCAGCAGCTAAAGCCACTCTGGCAAAAGGCAATAATGCCTCATCTACCTGGCATGATTGGGACTGGTGTCCTAGGAGAATTTTTCAGATATGAGACACACTAAGTACTAAGTCTAAGCCTTTCTAGGCAACACCTAAATGGCCCTTTATAACTTGCCTACTTTTTTACACAGCAGATAATGATGACTTGAGATCATCTAGACACAAGGACTAAAAGAATTACAGGGCTATCATTAGTTCTCAATTAATAGGCCCCAGGCTGCTTTGCCTTTTTTTTAGGTTCTTAAGTTTCCTTTCCAGTTTTCTCTCTTGTCCTCACACTAGACTATCACTACTTGCTACTACGAATTTGTTTGTTCTGTTCTCACTTGCTGTGTCTGTGTATCTACTCTGATGATCTAGGAAAGCAGATAACTGAGCTCATTAAGTTGTGTCTAAATTAAGAGCAAAAGGACTCTGAGAGCTAAACGCCTGAAGGGCTATACATTATGAGCCGAGAGTATGAGCTCTGGTTTGTGGCCTCTGTAACAACTATTTCGATTGCTGGGAGAGTTCTGTTTGCTTGTTTCCTGGGTCTCAATAGTGCTCCTGGACAACTGAGAAAGCCAGGTAAACAAGAGGTTTTGAAATGTGGTTCCTATAGCCCGTCACCAGAGTTTAAGAGAATGGGCTTAGACATCCCATTCCTAAATATGAGACTATAGTGCATTTCAGGACTTCAAAAGCATCCAGGGGTAAGCAGGCAAGGCAGCCACTACTGCGTATGTCAAACTCCTGCTTGCACAGCATTTTGCTCACCTGCAGTGAACTAAGAAAAGGTCTGTCTCCATCCTGGGCTAACACAAAACCTACTGTGCTTTCACTTGGTTGGTGATCAGGAGATGAAGAGATGGTTAGGATAGGACAGGTAATGGCTAGAGACATTGAGTTTTCCCTCCAAGATCAACCAGGAACCAAAACTTACATGGACTCAATCATTTTCTTTGTAAAAACTTCATCAAATTCCCTCTTCAAACCTGTTTTCATGGTATCAGAAAGGACAAGACTGGGGAGATGGTTAATATTTCTGTCAGCTTCAACTTCTTCATCTTCGTCAATTATCCTAAATAAAGACAGCAAAAGCAGAGAAAGAAAAATTATTTAGTCAAGCTACTATATAGTCTAGTAATGGGACAAAATTTAAAAAATAAAAAAGATGGGCCAGCCCCGTGGCTGAGTGGTTGAGTTCGTGGGCTCTGCTTCGGAGGCCCGGGGTTTTGCTGGTGCGGATCCTGGGCGCGGACATGGCACTGCTCATCAAGCCGTGCTGAGGCGGCGTCCCACATGGCACAACCAGAAGGACATACAACTAGAATATACAACTATGTACTGGGGGATTTGGGGGAGAAGAAAAAGAAAGAAATAAAAAAGATAAAAGCAACAGATGCTACAGGAAAAGATCAAGTAAAATATGAGGCCATACCTGAGTGAAAAAAGTACATCCAGGAGTTATTCAACATTTAACAAAATAGTTTTACATTATATGCAATTAAATTTGAAGAATGTGTCCCTGAAAACTCCCATAAACCAAAATTCAGTATCCAGAGATAGTAAAAATATTTAGTACAGTTTTACGAGAAGAGCTTACTTTAACATTTAATGTGTGCATTTTGAGTTCCCTGATCTTCAAAGTGAGAGGATGAGGATCAAAGTATTACCAAATGATGACTTAGATGAGCTTCAAAGAGTAGAGACATTACAGGAGAAAGCAATCAGTCAGCTACGTACACTGCCCATTTACCTGTCCTCAATTTCCTGAAGCCTCCTTCGGGCAACTTCACACTGTGGTTCTCCGGTTGTCTGATCCATTTCTTCACAAATAGCATCTAACATGCCAGGCGCAGAAAGGCCACCAGTGCACGGATCTACTCCTTGGCCCTCTATGTCCTGATGCGCACAAAGAATCCAGTCATTAGGACCAGCACAGAGCCCTGCTTCAGTTAGCCTTTTCTTTCTCACTGGACAACTGGAAAAAAAAAATTTCAATGAAAATCCTAATATAAATGAAATATATATCATCCCTATTTCTAAACAAATTCTCACATAAAAAACCCTCTAATTTTTGACAGTCTGTGTTTAGAAGATAGAAGATCAAGTATTTTCTTTTCTCTCATTCTTAACAGCCTCCCTGAGATGTTTTCTTCTACTGCTCTTGGCCAAATTAGGCTGCACCTGCAAGATTCTGCCTTTCTAGTTGAGAAGCATTCAATGTGGGAACTTAAGGTCATTCCTATTTATTTGGGTCTAGACAGGTCAAGCGGGAAGAAAACAAAAATCACAAAGCAGCAATTCAGTGCCAGCCACGTTTCGTCACACTGCTGCTGCTCCATCAAACTGGGCATACGGGGTGGGTGGCCTGCAGGCATTCTATGTTCTCTTATGGCAAAACAGATGCCTCACTAGGTCTCTTCCAAGTACTACAAGGTGCAAATGATACTGCTGATTTCTTGGTCCTTCCCAAAAGTGTCAGACTGTCACTTGGCTCTATGAGTCTCCGATGAATAATGGGCTACACTTTCCTCCTACTATGCAACATAAACCATCTTTAATTCCTAGAAAAATTTATATTTCATAGAGACCTTAGAGTTCATCAAATACAATTTCTTTGTTTTGCAGATTAGAAACTAGGATCTAGAAAAGCTAAAGTGCCCCTCCAAAGTGTCACAGAGTAGAGCTGCATGTTGGACACCAGACCCCAGAGCTCCTGAATCCTACCTCTATGCCATTTTCACTAAAACCTCCAGCCTCCTTACGGAAGTTCAACTGTTCAAGCTCTTGCCATGAGCTAGGATCTGCAAGCACTATGACATGCCCAGTTTAGTTGAACGCTATCTGAAGCAAGTTAAATAGACAATTGGCTCTGTTTCATTTAAGCATATAGACCAAAAGTACTTTATTGCCTGGGCATCAGCAAGTGACTCTCAAAACCAGAACACAGCTCTGCAACCAAAAAAATTCATTAATGGCTACAATAGGTTCTGATTCTCTAAAGTGAGGGTCAAAGGAAGCGGGATGCGTTTTATAAGGAGAAATTTCTATTCCATGTTAAGACTATGAAAATCAACATTAAAGTCTGGCAATCTGACAAGTAAATATGCTCTCTTTAACTTAGATTTTTGATTGGAATCAACTATTAAATCATGTTTAGTTTATAATTAGCTTTAATTTGTACGTATTAAGAATGTCTAGCTGTACATCAAATATTTCTGCAATATTTTCATAGTTTTAAAAGTATGTAATGTTTGGAAAGCAGAAGAAAAAGTTATACACAGAAGAAACCAGCTAAGAAAAAGCAGAAATAAATCTAGAGGGGAACAGGTAATTTCCTAGCACATCTAACAATTCAACTGAGTGTAAGAGCTGGGTTCTGATCTCTGACCTCCAACATGATTTGGACTAAATTATTTCATGCTTGTAGGTCTATTTTGCAAATAATTAGAAATCAATGATGATTAAGTTCCAAAGAAGATGTGATATAAAAGACTTCAGAGTACTGATAAGAGCTATGGAAGTGGCAGCTGGGCAGCACACATCCAAATGTCAAGTCCCTCATCCTCCCAGGGCTTCAATCTCTCCATCTGTAAATTAAAGGTGGTTAACTAAGCCAATAGTTTTTACACTTCAAAGTTTTTATTTTTAACACTGGAACTCTTTATTCAATAATCTCTTAAAGGGAACCCCAAAAGATAATAGCAGAGGTCCCTGGGTATCCACAGCAATCCCAAGGTAATAACACATTATCTGGTCCAGTGGTTTTTAAACTAAGGCAACTTTCAAATCTACTGTCTTCCTAGTCTATGTATCAACAAGGTTAGAAAATCCAAAGTTTCTGCTGGCCAAAAAAAATCATACACAAAGTTAAAAGACAAATGCCAAATTTTGGGAAAACATTTGTAACACACATAATAAACTGATTTCCTTATTAAAGATTTCTTATAGATTAACAAGATCAATAAGCCAATAAAAAACTTGCAGAAACATGAATGATTCACACACAATTAAACACAAATGACCTAAATGAAAAGACGTTCAACATCACTTATAATTTACAAAATACAAATTAAAAGTGATCTAATTTCTTTTTAACTATAAAATCCTATGCTCATAAAAGTATAAACAATTTAATGAACAATTACAAAACAAACATCCATGAAAATAACTTTCAAGATCGAGACTGGTGCCAGCATCCCCAAATGATACTCTATTCCCTCCTCCCTACAGGTAAACGCTGTCTTCTATGGATATTTTTTTTTCAAAAACATGCTATCATGCATGCAGACATGCATCCTTACACAATGTTTAGTTTTGTCTGGTTTTGAACCTTATATTTAGGGAATTATACTATCTACGTTCTTGTGATGTTTCTTTTGCTCTTCTTATAAGACACATCCATGTTGCTAGGTGTAATTCACTTTTTTTCTTTTTGCTGAATAGAACTCCACTGTATGATCTTGTAATTTACTTTATCCATTTTACCATTAAGGGACATTTGGGCTGTTTCCAGTCATGAGTATTATGAGCAAGGATGCTATGAACTTCCTTGCACGTGTCTCCTGATGTGCATGTGTCCACACTCAGGAGGGGAAGTGGTGGGCAAAAAGAGTATGCGTGCCTTCACATTATTAGATAATGCCAAACTGTTTCCCAAAGCGCTTGTACCAGTTTACGTTCTCAGCTATAGCATGTGAGTTGCTGCTGCTCTGTGACAGCTCCAATATCTGGTAGTAGAGTGAGGAGCTCATTGTGGCTTTAATATGCATTTCCCTACAAGACTGATGAGGTCGAACATCTTTTTATCTGCCTGATCATTTGGAAATCCTCTTCAGGGAATCCTTTCACTCCTTTTTCTCAACAGACTGCCTATCTATGAGACGCAACTTTTTACCTATCAGATGAGTCAAAAAGTTTGAAAATACAGTTCTGGTAAGGTGTAGAAACAGGCACTCCCACTGTTAAAAGAAGTATAAAGTGGCAAAACTCTTGTTCAAAATTTAAAATGCATGCACTCTGTACAACCAGAGGCACTCACAACTAGAACAGACAACTGCGGACTGGGGGCTTTGGGGAAAAGGAGGAAAAAACAAACAAATAAATAAAATGCATACACTTTTAAGACCCAACAATTCCCCATCTAAGACTCCACACTCACCTACTTGTAAGTAAATACAAAGAACTTAAAAAGAATGGTCACAGTTAGTAACGGCAAAAGATTAGAAATAACTTAGAAATCCATCAATAGCAGACCGGTTAATTATCTATGCCTAGGCTTCCAACGGAATTCCATCCAACAATTGAAAAAAAAAAAAAAAATTAGGCAGAACTCGATGTGCCCGAACGCAACAAGCTCCAGGAGTAAAATGAAAGATCAACGTGTTGCAGTGGAAACAGTATCTTCCTACAAACGTAAAAAACCAGAGGAATATACAGCTATCCGCTGGCAGGTTTTCTGGTTATCTTCCAAAGGGGAAACGGCAAAGAGGGCACAGGCGTAGACCGGGGAGAGCGGTGAGCACGGACTGGGACGATTTTCAACGTCTCCTTTCGCACATTTGGACGTCTTCTCCCTCGCGCATGTAATAATATTCACGCGGCTCAAAACGCAAACATTACAATCGGTCACAGAGCGAAAAGTTCCCCTCTGCCCTGCCAGCCACCCAGCTACTTTCTCTAAAAGGCAACAACGGTCTCACTCCCTGTGCCTCCCTTCGGGGCCACCTGTTTCACCCTCCCACTTACAACAAGGAGGTGGGGATACGAAATAGGCTAACCGAAGGGACCATAAAGTGAATCAATGGCACCTGAAACTTACTCATCGTCTTCCTCCTGCTCTCGCTTGTGTTTCTTTTTGCAGCGACCCGAAACACTGTTGAGACAGACAGACAGGCAGTCAAGGGAGAGACAGGGGGCTCGCGCTCTCAGCATCCCCTCTTTCTTGCTCCAACACGCTTGCCCACCCCACACGTCCTAGCTGTCCCTGTCCTTGCCGAGGGGGCTGGACACTCAAGTCACACGGCCAGCCGGGCGCGCGCTGGGTGGTCCTGACCTCACTGGAGCCTGAAGTCCACACTTCTCATTCGTCACGGGAGCGGGAGGAGGACCCGGGGGCACCAGCGGAGGGAAAGGCGTTCGGGGCCGGCGCCGCGCTCAGCGCTCGTTCCCACGACCTCACCCGCAGGACCCGCGCTGTCCCACTTCGCGCAGGAGGAAACTGAGCGACCGAGGGGCAGCGGCCGCGCCGCGGGGACGTGCGGCTCCGCGGGGTCCGGAGCGGACTCGGGCGCCCTGGAGTTGGCGTCTCTGGGGATCAGTTTCCTCCTCCGCACGCTGCGCCCGGGGCTCGGGAGGAGGGAGGGGAACCAGCCCGCCCGCGCCCGCCCGGGGGCTCACCGTCCGCGCGCCGTGCCCCCGCCGGGGCTGCTCGGGGCGGCGCGGGGTCCCGGCCGCGGCACCAGCTCGGCGCCGTCCGCCCCCGGCGGGAAGGCCCGGCCCGAGAAAGCCGGCGGCGGCTGCAGGAAGTCCGAGCTGCCACTCAGGGGGAGGCCGCTGAAGGGCCGGCCGAGTGCGGCCATGGCCGGGGAAACGAGGAGACTGCGCCCGCGGCCCCGGCCGCCCGCGTCCCCAGGCCCAGCAGCTGTGGCCACAGCGACTGCCGACAGGCACCCGCCTCCGAGCCCGCTCTCGACCCCACGTCACGCCTTCTAGAACCCTCCACCCCGGGCCGCCCAGGGGCACGCCGGGATTTGTTGTGTGTGGAGAGCCGCTGCCGCGAGGGATGCCGGGAATTGCAGTCCTTGCAGACTACAAACAAGATGGCTGCCTCGGCTTGGCCGTTGGGCTGTGAGGATGGCTCTGGTGGGCCTAGAGCATAAGCCAGGTTCGAATCCTCAGTTTGCAAGTTACGTAACCTCTGTACCTCACTTTTCTCAGTAGTAAAACCTGTCTTCATAGAGTTTATGGGAGAAGTCAATGAATCAAAACATCTAGAGTCTTTAGAACATTGCTTGGCACGCACTACACACTCATTAAATATCAACTATTAATTCCTTCCATGTTTTAATGTAAGTGAAGTTGGTGAATACTTAGAGGGAACAGCACCGAGGATCAGTGAAAACCTCAGAGCGCTTGTGAGAGGTACTGGCAAAGATAGTCGACCCCATTTTTCCCTTCTCAGGGAAGGGCTCCCTCATCCAGTTTGAGTTGCTTATGCCAACGTCAACGCCCTTTAGCCAAAAACCACCAAGAACACGCCTATAATTGAACAAAGATGGATTTATTGACTCCTTGCAATGAGGGAGTATCTCAGCAAGAGGGTGTTAGCCAAGGCTTCTTATAGGATTTGGGTGTGTCTTAGGTGATTTGGGGGAAGGTTGAAGGACAGCAGGACTTTGCTCTGGAATTAATAGTTAGGAAGCTGGGATAATTCTATGATTATTTTAGCCAATCTTTTCGAGAAGGTGGGAGGGATGGAGGGAGGTAAGGAAGCAATAGTCCTTCCTACTGACCAGGATGGGGGAATGTTTGGTCATTTTTGTGGTTTGGACAAGGCTCACATTTTTTCTTGATCCATCGAAGTCAGTCTTAGTCCCTGTTTGATGCTGACATTCTGTGAAATTGTTTAACAGGAAGACATCAAGTCCTACCTGAAAGTACCAGGTCAGTTTCAGCTGTCGGAAGATGCTTTTATCATTCTAACCCAAAACCTAAGCATCGTGATTGGTGCCTCTTTTTTGTTCAGCTCCCTATTTAATCAATTAGCAAGTCCAGTGGGCTTTACTTCTGAAATGCTTCTAGATTCTCTTCATTTTTCTCCATCTCCATTGCCCTCATTATGGTCTAAGAAAAAATGAATGAACTCCTTTTGCCTAATGTAATAGAATAGAATAGGTTTACGTTTTCTGTGTGGCATTTACAATCCAGTTTTGTTTTCGTAAGTTAACACCCTTGCTTACCTCAACTAGATATGAAAGATAGTTTTCTGGGTCATTGCAATCCTGTGTTTATGCTAACGAATGAGATGACTCCAGATAGGGGCCGGTCACCAGAAAGACCAACTATGTGATTAGAAGATTTAGGGCTTTGAGCCAGCCCAACCTCTAGGGAGGGGAAGGAGGCTGAAGGTTGAATTCAACTACATGGTCAATAATTCAGTCAATAATGTTTGCATAATAAAACCCCAATAAAAACTCTGGACACCAAAACTCAGTGGAGCTTCCCGGTTGGTGAACACATTGATGGCTGGGAGGGTGGTACCCTGATTCCATGGGGAGACAGCATGGAAGATCTGTGTTCAGGACCCTCCCAGATCTGGCACTATGTGTCTCTTCATTTGTATCCTTTAAAATACAATCGTAATCATAAATATAACTTTTTCTTGACTTCTGTGAATCATTCTAGTGAATTGTTGAACCTAAGAGGGGTCATGGGAACCTCCTGGATTTGTAGCCAGTCTGTCATAAGTATGGATGACCTGGGAACTCCACTTGAGGCTAGCATCTGAAATAAGGGCAATTTTGATGGACTTCAACCTGTGCCCTTAAAGCTGTGGGGTCTCACGCTAACTGTGGGTTGTTAGCATTGGAATTACACTGCAGGATTGCAGTGGTGTCAGAATAGCAAAGGACCGAGAATAGCCAAACAATCTTAAAAAAGAATGAAGTTGGTGGACTCCAACTTTCTGTGATGAGAAAAACAACTTGTTTTTCTGAGTTGCTACCTAGGCGTTTTACAGTATGATAACCTTGCTCACACCCCACATCTGGACATTTAGCTAAGAACCTGAGCTTAGGATCCCGCTGTAAGTTCCTACTTTGCTTTTCCTGGGGCACCCAACTTAGAGTTAAGCCCACAAAAAGTTAGTGACCTCTGCCCCAACCACCTTATAAATAACAGGGGGTTGCTATGTGGCTGTCTCCTGCTTGCTAGTGACCTGGGAAGGAAGACTGCCATTCTCCTGGTTCATTCTGGCCATCTCCCTACCCCCAGCCCCATCCCCGCACTTCTGGGATTTGTGAGTAATAAATCTTTTGACTTTACTTCCTTTGTGTGGGTGTATTGAAACTGTACCTTCAATCAAAATGGCCCTGTGGGTTTCACTTCCCCAAAGTGGGAACTCAGAAACTAAGGGAGCTATCTGCCCACCCCATGTGGGTGGCTTGTGCCTCCTCATTCAGCAGGTCATAATCTGCATATTCGTTTTTTTTTTTTTTTTTGGATTGGCCCTGAGCTAACATCTGTTGCCAATCTTTTTTTTCTTCTCCCCAAAGCCCCCCAGTACCTAGTTGTATATTTTAGTTGTAGGTCCTTCTGGTTGTGCTATGTGGGATGCTGCCTCAGCGTGGCTTGATGAGCAGTGCCATGTCCGTGCCCAGGATCCAATCTGGTGAAACCCTGGGCCACTGAAGCACAGCTCGTGAACTTAACCACTTGGCTAGGGAGCTGGCCACTCTGCATGTTCTTAATTCAATACGCTAGCTCTAGCTTTTCAACACACTTTCCAATTTCAAAACAGTGTGGTATTGGTATAATGGTAGACATATAGATCAATGGAATTGAATTAATAAATACAAAATATACCCTCACATTTATGATCAATTGATTTTCAACAAGGTACCAAGACAGTTCATTGGGAGAAAAGAATAGACTTTTCAACAAATGATGTGGGACAATTGGATAGCCACATGCAAAAGAATGAAGTTGGACCCTTGACTTGCACCATGTACAAAAATTAACTCAAAATGGATTATTGACCTAAATGTAGGAGGTAAAAATATAAAACTCTTAGAAGAAAATACAGAGGTAAATATTCGTGATCTTGGGTTAGGTGATGGTTTCTTAGATATGACACCGAAAGCATAATAATAAAAGAGAAGATTGATTAGTTGAACTTCATCAAAATTAAAAACTTCTGTGGTTCAAAGGATTTCAAGAAAGTAAAAAGATAACTCACAATTTGAGAGAAAATATTTGCAAATCATGTATTCAATAGGAGACTTTTAACCAGAATATATAAGAAAATTCTTACAACTCAATAATAAAAAAGACAACCAGGTTTTAAAATGGGCAAAGGATGTGAATAGACATTTCTTCAAAAAAGATTTTCAAATGGCTAGTAAGTACATGAAAATATGCTCAACATCATTAGTCAGAAATGCAAATCAAAACTACAATGAAATACCACCTTACACCGACTAGGATAGCTAAAATTAAAAAGACAGACAATAACAAGTGTTGACATGGACGTGGAGAAACTGGAACCTTCATACACTGCTGGTGAGATTGTAAATCGTATAACCACTTTGGAAAACAGTTTGGCAGTTCTCAACATATTAAACATAGAGTTACCATATGACCCAGTAATTCCACTCCTAGGCATACACCTGGGAAAAATGAAAAGATATGTCCACACAAAAACATGTACATTTATGCTAAGTGAAACAAGCCAGTCACAAAAGACCGCTTATTATCTGGTTCTGTTCATACGAAATGTCCAGACTAGGCAAATCTACAGGTTAGTGTCTGCCGAGGGCAGGAAGTGGGGAGAGGAAGGGGAGGATGGAAAGTGATTGTCAAGGCTGGCCCCATGGCCGAGTGGTTAAGTTCATGTGCTCCGCTTGGGTGGCCCAGGCTTTCGCCGGTTCGGATCCTGAGCACGGACATGGCACCGCTCATTATGCCACGCTGAGGTGGCATCCCGTATGCCACAACTAGAGGGACCCACAACTAAAAATATGCAACTATGTGCCAGGGGGCTTTGGGGAGAAAAAGGAAAAATAAAAATCTTAAAAAAAAAAAAAAAGAAAAAGAAAGTGATTTTCTTTTTGAGATGGCAAAAATGTTCTAAAATTAGATCCTGGTGATGGTTGCACAGCTCTGTAAATAGGCTTAAAACCACTGAATTGTACACTTTAGATGTGGGGACTTTGTCGTATATAAATTACATCTCAGCGCAACTTTGAAAAAAACAAACCTGGTAGAAAGGTTGTGGGAGAGGAGCTCACACCTACCTCCGGCTCTCGGTGGTTTCTGACACCTACCGAAAGGAAGCGATAGCTATGCATGACCAGGCTGCCTCAGGTCCGTTTGCAAGACAAACCGCCTTTCCTGCTACAGGTGTGTGCCATTTTTTTTCTAACGTATGCTTTGAGGGTTTGGTAACTATTGTGAGTAAGAGATACATAGGAGTTATAGTGAGGTTTCCTCTACTTCTCTGAGAATTGGAAACTAAAGAAGCCAGACAAAATATGAACTATTATCATAATGATGAAAGCAAACATATATAAAAACAGCATGCAGAGAAATGATGGCTCCTCAGCCAACACTTGTAATATAATTGGTATTTAGGACCATGTTTTCTTTTTCTCTTTTTTTTATTGTGATAAAATATGCATAACATAAAATTTACCTTCTTAATCATTTTTAAGTGTACATTTTTTCCCCTTTTTTCTCCCCAAAGCCCCCTCATACATAATTGTGTATATTTTAGTTGTGGGTCCTTCTAGTTGTGGCATGTGGGATGCCACCTCAGCACGGCTTGATGAGCGGTGCCATGTCCATGCCCAGGAGTCGAACCGGCAAAACCCTGGGCCGCCAAGGCAGAGCGCACAAACTTAACCACTCAGCTACGGGGCCGGCCCCATAAGTGTACACTTTTTAAGTGTACAATTCAGTGGCATAAAGAACATTCACATTGTTGTGCAACCATCACTGCCATCCA